TGCAAAATCAAAATTGTAAAATAATTAAAACTCAAAAGAAAAATAAATAAAATTCCTACCATAAGATATTAAGACGCATACACACACACACATATATATATATATACACATATTATATATATATATATATATATATATACACATATTACACATAATGTCATAATTAAAGAAAAAAAATATTTTCAAAATCATGTCGTTTGTAAAAATGCGACTGAATTTTAATAAATGAATCGTTACGCTAATCGAATATTAACTAGCATTGAGAACTCGAAATCGTAAATTAATATTAATCAGTTATAAATTGTCTCAGTCGTCGCCGCCAATGCCAAATGCGGCCCTTTACTACACCCACTACTACTGCTACTACTACTACTACTACTGCTACTAATACTACTCCGAGCATCTGATTCATATGTTAAGGTGCCTTAAATATTAACCACGAGATCTTTTAGTAGACTTTCTGGGTGTAACGAGAGAGAGGAAAAAGGGGAAATAGAGAGAAAGAGAGAAAGAGATAAGTTTTCATAATTCTGCCATAAATTCTCGGACTCGCAACCTTCTTATTATTTTTTTTTTCGTTTTTATGTCTCGAAATTTATGATATTTTCAATGATTAATTTTTCAAAACAAAAATTTTAATTATAATTTTCTAATGATGATTAGGTTCATAAATCAAATTCTTTACTTTTTTTCAATTTTATTACGGATGCTTAATATTCACATAAAAACATTTTTAGCACAAGTATTATTAAACACTTAAATGTGATATAAACTTTAATGGATATAATTAATATACGGAAACACTTGCCTTCATATCATCGCTTATTAGAACTCTTAGTTTTTTATATTATTCTAAAATTAGAAATTTTTCTATTGCTTTCAAAATTTATTTCTTCTTACAGACACTTTCATACGATGCAAAAGAATAAGGCGTTGCTTGAGATGGATTACTACTACTACTACTACTACTACTACTATTACTATTTTCGATGATTGGGAGACGAATGGTCGGGACACAGCAATAGTGTCCCTTGAATTGCGACTTTTGACGGAACTTCTCAAGAAAATTCATATTTATTTTTTCTTGTCATACTCCGCCTTCGGATGGCTAAGAGGATGCCCTGTCTTGCTGCTACAGCACTTTTAGACCAGACATACTCGAGACATGATTGCCACGGAAATATAAGTCCTTTAACGTACAAAAGGCACTAATTGGGGCCACATATGCCAACATTTACTCGGCTCTAGTGAACGTATAGAAAGATGTGATATAAAATGAATTTTATTTTTTTATGGAAAATTCTTTGGTTGCCGACACGTACAGCCACGGAAGAGGATGATAGACTAATCGAAACACAGTCGCAATGTTGCCCTCGACACAAGTTAAGCTCTGAAATGGAGAGTCAAAGAGCGCTTATTCCACATGTAACGCCAACAGCGCTAAGGCGACAGCTGAAAAACTATGCAGCGTATACGGTGAAGGACTGAGAACTGATCGGGTTTTTGGGAAATTGGTTTGTAAAATTCCATTCTGGTAATACGACCTTAAAAGGCGGGACGTCCTACCGATTTGACGACAATTTTTTAAAGGCAAAATTCACACCAATCCACAAGCAGAGTTGAATGCCCTATAATCAAAGGTGAAATTAATATAATTTTGTCATTCAATGAAAAGAAAGTGAATGTCTGGTAAATAAACGGAATTAACTTGTGACTCGACCCACTAGTCTAAATCAATACTTTGCCACAATAAACGTGAAAGGTTTATTGCTCTTATCGCCACTCAAGCAAGTGTAGGCTCCGATCATAGGATGCCTGTTGTGCGTAACGGACATACTTACGTTGGATCGCAATGATTTAGCGCAATACAAAAAGCAAATAGTTTATCAAAACGAAACTCGTAAGCCTCAGGAAACTTTGGCAACGAACTTTCCATGTCCTCTCGCGGACAGCAGAGACCGTAGGTACAATTGTACTTCGAGCTTGTTAGTGTTTTAATGACTATCAAGTACAAACTGAAAAGACTCTCATTCAAAAATATACCAGAGAGAGAGAGAGAGAGAGACGAGATATAATTGAAACGATCTCACTATTGACAAAGTCCGCGTGTTTTGGTCGGAAGATCTTAAATGGACATTAATAAGTACCTCGATCACGCTTACGAGAGAATGAGAGTGAAAAACTTGGAGCAAGAAATACAAAGTGCAAGTTTGACGTAAAGTGAAATATTTAGGATTAAGTGACGACTAAAGCCAATACAGGTACGATGTACGAAATTTATACCAAGTAACTGATAGGGTAACCTGCTGATTGTCGTCGGATGCACGTTGGAGAGGCAAACAAACCATTCATTCTCTTTCCGTGTAAATAAATTAAAAAAATGTTATCTGAAAATCGAAAGCGATAACTCGTTACCTGTACTCAAGAAGTAATTTCGAATAGATGAGGAGAGGAAAAGCAAGTGGCAATTTAAGGAATAGACAGAAAATGAATCTTTGTTTGTGCAATAAATGTGCAAAAAGCATATCAGGTTTACATATTCATGCATATTTTCTTTTACCATTTCATATCTATTACGCATTACATTTTCTCGCTGTTCGTATATATGTTTTCGAAGCATTATTTTATTACAGTTAGGAGCAATTTAAAAGATGTTCAAAGGAGAATTATGTTCAGCCAAAAAAATAAAAAAAAAAAATAGAAAGCTGGCGGTCATCATCGTTTCGAAGAGTATTATCAGTACGACCCACAGAGCCAATTAAACGCTCAAGAGACACGAGGATGTGTCATCTGACGTGACAGGAGCACTGGGGGATAATAGCCTCAACCTGATGAAAAATGAAAATTTGAACATATCACGTTTTATAAACACAAATTTCTGTTCACGGAACATGGCATTATTCAGTGTATCAAAAGTGCGAAATTCAACGAAAGAGATAAACGTGATTAGTTCAATGAGCTTCTAACACACAGTACAAACTTTCAAGCAAATTTGCCTTAAAAGGAAAAGATCAATATTGTTCTTCGTGGCAAGCAGTCAAGAGCGCTAGATGGACCATCTAATACAAGCCTTTGGTTAAGCAAATTATAATATACAATTTTAAAGTAATTAATGCACTTACATATATTAAGTATGATGGAACACTAAATGTTAGATACCTATGGGCTCGTGTTAGCTCAAGACGTTGCAATCACTACTTTCATCAAATTTAACTGATCTCAAGCAAAGATATAGTGTATAATTTCATGCTCTTGATTTTATAGCCTCCATGTAAAAAAAAAAAAAAAAAAAAAAACTTCTCTTTCCTATTTAAGACTAAATTTATGGTTCAGCATAGGAAGTCGATATATTTAGATGTTATATATTGCCTTCTTAATGACATACTCAAGCAAACACATTATGCAACATATGTCTGCTCTTTTTTTTTTTTTAGGACACGCCTTCTTTTGGTATTTTTATGGGTAAGTTTTGTGAATCGATACAGTCACAGCAGTTTGTCACAAACATTCCTTTGTCAATTAAAAATAGTATGTTAAAAAGTGGGCATGATTTGTTGATAGACATGCCCACAAGGCCGAAAAGACCGAAAATATTGTAATATTTTCGTCTAGAACTTTCGATCCCGTGAATATGTTTCTGAAAGATTGCTACTTAAATATTTGCCAGAACCACCTGCATGTTTGGCCCAAAAATTGTCCCGAGTGGTTTGCTAATGTTTTCATAGTTAACGACAAAATTTTAATTCCAACTTATTTCCCATATATTCTAATGCACATCGAATTGAATTTTGTCGTTAACTGCTGACGTGTTGGTAAACCGATTCGAACCATTTCTGTTGTGAACATGAAAGCGATTCTAATAAATATCTGGATTATTGGTTTTCGGAAACAGACTTAAGGAATCCAAAGTTATAGATGAAACTATGAAAAAGTTTCCAATATTTCTCAAGGTTATTATAGTTTCTTCTGTATTGTGGGCGTGTCTATGAACAAATCACGCCCGTTTTTCAAACTAATGTTCTCAATTAATTCGACCAAGGAATTTTTATGGCATATTTGGCCTCCTAACTTGTGTCAGAAAAGTAAGTTGCATTCACTGCCTTCTTAAGACCAAACTCAATTTTTTTAGTCTCCACCGCTTGTGATACAAGGGTATACTAAGTTTGTATGGATATGAACAACACCAAAAGGATTTTGGGCCAGACTCACATTTCATTGCACCGATCGATTCGGGAAGTAATTCTGAATAGCTTGTTTGTTCGTCTTGTGTTTTTGTTTTCAACTTAGAGAAGACTATTTTTGAGATATTTTGAAGAAATTTGGTATATCGACGGGTTCTTGGGCCAAGGACGAACGCTATTGAAAACGGTTCGGTTCCAAGCATTTTTTCGACCACTTCTCATATTTAATGCTGGGCCGTGATCCACAATATTGCTTTTACTTGCTTTAGGAATATCAAACAAACTAGAAGTATGGAATATAAATTTTTGTTTGCGCAACCTTCGCGTAAAAAGAAAGTTGTAAAAAACGTAAAGGTGTGCGGAAAGAGTTCAATGAAAGAGGTCGAATTTCTCGTCATCCTGTAATACATTGACATTATTTATTTATATATTTTGTTACATCTCTTGTCCCTCCCGTAGGACGAGTTTCAAATATCTTTACCTCTACTGATCGGAGACAGTTAATCGCTTCTCAATATATATTTACATTTCGATATTTACACATGAACTTATTTAAAAAGGGACTAAGTTGATCAACACAAATTCGGAGATAATGAGATTGGCTAGAATGAAACTTCATTCTTATCGATATCATTTAAGTTATACCTCATCGACGACAAAAAAAACATTCATTTCTATCTTATCTACTTCAGCGGGTAAAAAATATTAACTATTGTTTAATAAAACCGTAAAAAGACAAACAATAGTTTACGTTTTTACATCGCATGATTGCATAATAGTAATGATAATTAAAATATTAATGTTATGAATGCTACTTACCCAAATTCGTAGTGCTATCACTTTCATTTAGATCCCAAGCATTCTGCAAAGAGTTACAAAATGTGAAAATGAATTTCATTGAATTAAAATTGACAGACTTACGGGATCAATGTCGATTGATAAAGGAGCCATAGGAACGGAAGCCATTTGTAACATGTTGTTACGTATAGTTTGGTAGCGTTGTATAGATTCGTTTGAAGTAGCCACGTTGAATGTATCGCAAACATCTACTTCATTTTGATCACTTGACAGAGTTTCTGATTCCTCGGGTATGGTATCCCAATGTGCAGTCGTTATTGCTGTTGTTGTCTGAATATCAGAAGGGAAACTAATTAAGTTTTCCACGTTGTTTTCCGGCGGATTAGTAGGGGTGGGTGTACTGGACGCAGAGGTAGAAGATGCAACGCTGGTCTGATGAGTAACTTGTGTAGTGGCACTGCTGTAACTGGACGAACTAAAATTACTGAAATCCAATACGTAATTATTTGCAGTAGATTGATTAGAAGTGGGACTGATGATCTAAGAATAGATTATTTTAATTATAATGTATTTACATAGAAGAGTTGTAAAATTACCTGTTGATTCACAAATTCGTATTCCAAGGGCTCTTCAGCTCCCGGGAATCCCAAGACTAATTCATTCATTACTTCCACTACATGCTGCATAGAAGGTCGCAATTCCGGTTTGGTTGCCCAACAAGAAGTCATTAAATTTTCTATCGGCCTTGGACAATCTGCTATCAGAGGCGGTCGTTCTCCTTTATGAATTTTCCACATAATCGAGTACGTGTTATCAACATCTTTAAATGGCTTTTGCCGTGATAGCACTTCCCATAAAACAATACCCCAACTAAATATATCACATTTTTCGGTATATTTTGAACCTTCAAAAACCTCCGGAGCCATCCAGGCGGCACTGCCTTTATTGTTAGTCATCAAGGTGGACTTATCAGCCACTGTCCCAAAGTCACAAATTTTTAAAAGTCTTCCTCTGTTGGTAAGCAGTAAATTTAAGGGCTTTAAGTCACGATGTATTAGAGGTTTTGGTTTCATAGCATGTAAATAAGCCACGCCCTAAATCAGAGGTTGGCTTTATAAAATGTATTTTAAAAATTTATTTGAACATTTTACCTCAGCACATTGACGGGCCCAACTCATTGCGTGTGCAGTGGAATAATAGGGTTTCGCTTTGCCATGTAAAAAATCATATAGCGATCCACCTTCAGCATATTCCATAATTAAGTAAGTCGACATTTGATTTGCGGCCAAACCATATAAAGCTATTATGTTGGGATGTTGGACGCGGGACAACTGCTTCACTTCGGTCTCTATCGCTTTTTGTTCTGCTTTAGGACCAAATTCTTTTACCGCTACGTAGTGATCACGCCAAATTGCTTTGTAAACCACACCGTAAGAACCATGGCCAACTTTCTGCAAAATGAAGAGCATATAATAAGATATCGCAATCTAGTTAAGAATTTTAAAAAAACCTCTTTAAACGATATCTCTGAAAAATCTACAGTTGGGCACAGGAAATTTAAGCTGCCGTTACCGCTTGTCAGCATGGAAACATTAGTATCTAAAGATGGAATTGTTGAGCTGGCAGCTTCTTCCAATTGTGGAGTGTCTTGACTTCTTGGATTTGAAGTTTCATTATTGTTGTTACCGCTTTGTTGTTGTTCATCTGTCATGTTTTTAATTTCCTTTTGTTTGGCTGTGTCTATTTTTAGATTTCTCGTATTTGTTTAATATTTAATTGCATATTTAAGCATTACCACACTGCACCTCTGGCCATTTTAGGATTTTTTTAGTTAAAATTAAGCTGGAATTTGCTGGCTTTCTTTTCCATGTAAGTGTTTTAATAGTGTATTTCACTTTTTCTTTTGTTATTTATGTTTCAAAATCTGATATTATTGAGTTTAATCGAGATTTTATATAAATTAATTTCTTGCAATTTTTATTCATCTACTTTTTCACAATAAATACGAATGTCAAACCTTTGTCTTCCTCATTTCTATAAGCATTCATAGAAACATAACAACGCAATACTAAAATGAAATTAATTCTATGACTATTAAATTGTAGATTATTTTAAAAAAAAGAGAAATGTTTACAAACATTAATGTTACATTTTATTAATTTTGCGATTGTCGTCAATAATTCCAATAACGTTAAAACAATGGGAAGGAATTAAAAATTACTGTTAAGTAGATATTTTCGTTATGTTCGCCAAATGTATTCTAGATTCATTTAGAAAAACTGCGTGTTTACAAAAACATTCGTGTAGCTATTTATTAAAAAACAAAAAATAAATAAGTTCGATATAACCGCAATTATAAAAGCGGTAATATAACTTATTACAGAACAGACTAATTAATATTTTATTAAAATTAAAAAAAAGCGTCTATAACGTGTTTCAAAAATATTAAAGGCGTTTTTCCTCAAACACGATTTTTTAAAACGGCGAGCAATATAATTCAAACAATTGTCATTCTTTTCCATCGATCTTGTTACAATATTTTTAAAATAACATTTCGAAGAGTATTGTAACATTATTTATTAACAAGAGATTTCTTTTTTTGAACAAAAATGGGATTTTTTCATTCAATTGCACACGAAGCGTACAAAACATAAAATTTTTTGAAACTTCCCACGTAAATATTCCTCTAATTTTAGGCATATTTTTCTTTTTTTTTTTTAAGGTTGAAATATTTATCACTGACACAAGCGGACCCAAGCCGCCTAGAACCCGTTAGATTATGTACATTTCGAATTGATTCAGTATGGCTTTTTTAAAAATATTTTGCAGAAATAATTTTTTTTCTAATACTTAAATTTACGCATGATAACCACTCAGAATACTATTATCCTACTAGCCTTACTTCCACCCCAAAAAATACCAAAGATACACTTTTTTTTCATAGGCTACATTAGTGGTGTTACCGCTTAAAATTATTATGTGCCAATGGTTCACACTTATTAGAGCTGCGCAATAGGTTCTGATAAGAAACACATGGTATTTGGCCTGCAAGGTCATTTCCCTTCGGCAACTTTATTGAGTGGTAAACTTGCTCATTAAGCCTGTTACAAATATCCGATTGCTGAATTCACACGCAGAATGCAAGCGAATGTATATCTCCAATTAAAACGTCTAGTTGACTTGCTTTATAGTGTGTCAACAATACAGTACACATAGTAGAAATGAAATTTCACAAAAAAAGAATTGTGGATTATATAGAAATTACGATGATGGCACAAGTGTTTAATTGGTTGGAGCATGTGTGGAAATGAGACCTGTAAAGAAAGCGAAGTGATTTGGTTGTACAATTATCCAGTAGCAAAATTTCTTGCTCACGATCGTTAATGGTACATCACTGAAAATCAAGCCTTTCACGATGTCTTAATAATTTTTAATATGACTTCCCACCAAAGCCCAATGAGCTGCCAAGTATGAATTGATAAAACACAGACCACCCTCGTTAAGATGGGTGCTAACTGCACTTCCCTTAGTGCCCAAAGCGTTAGTAGAGCTATACTGTTAAGTCGACAACGAGCTTTTGTCGTAATTCACGTTTGATAGTAATGGTCAACATCATGACTACCAAACGTACGAAGGATAGTTCTCTCCCCAATAAATAGTTCCCAGCATATTCTTTTGATATATTCGTTTTGTCACAAAGCATAGTTAGCGGTTGTATATACAAGTTCATCTACACCCGCAACGCATGCGGTCGATTTTTGTTATAGTTTTGACTGAGCTATCCAACTTTTGTAACGCTATAGTATTTACATCAGGAGGAGTATCGCAAGCGGCCAACCACAGATGTAAGGGAGAATCGCTAGAAGATTTATCACTAACATTCGGATTGGCACAATATATACTAAAATGCAACGCTATAGCACGATTTCGTAAAATCACCATTAATGTCTTCACTTTTTCTTCTCTTTAGCTCTTGCTTGATTTCGCCAATTTATCATTTATCCAACTGAAACTTAAAGCAGTTACTCAATTTAGATTCTAAAACAGGGTATGTAATATTGACAGTTTTGCCGAAATAACCTGATCATGAAATGCATTAAAATCTGAAGTTCCTTCCGCTGGTATTACCGGATAATAATAAAATTTAACTGCAGCCTACTCGAGAGTTTATAAGGTAAATTGCAATTGGCATACGGCTGCACTCAATGAAAACACTGCAACTGTACCGCCTGCAACTGGTGCAATTAAATCCAATATGTGGCTAGTCTGCTTTTGTCTCGTAATTTGATAACCCTCGCAAATCTGCAAATAGATCCACTCGAACCGATAAGACATTGTCATTATTTTTCAATTTCTATTGCACTATTGTCACTCCCAAACCGTCCATAATTGAAGTCAAATCAACCGTTCAAATTGTTGCTGATATTGTGGGCAAATAGTCCATTGCGCCATCTTGATTATTGACTTGATGACGATTAACGTATTAGATAAATTTTCTTGATTTTCCTTTTCACAATTTCGCATACTTTTCAAAGTTGTTGATTTCGTTACGTTCAATTATCAAAGTAATTCCATATACGTTTATTTATTGAAAAACAAACTCTTCTTCTTTTTAAATCAAAAACAAATGGTAAGCTGTTTAGAAAACAAAATGGCACAGTGCGAACACAATGTTCTTCGACTGGGTGAAATGACGGTTAATTTAGATTGTTGATTGCATATTATATTTTTATTTTTATTTGTTGATGCTAGTAAATATTTCCATTTCTCGTAGGTTGTGCGTCCGCTTCTTTTATTTTTGGGTTTATTACCGCTTTCTTTTGAGGTGTTATTGTTATTAGTTAAGGATCAATACATTTTTATTTTTTCATGCTTTTTTTTCCAAATTCTCCCGTTATGTTTAGAGGAAGAATTTTTTTTTTTGTTATTATTATTTGATATATATTTCTTGATGTTTTTTCTTTTTAATATCGTTGGTAATTTTATTGTTATTGTAAAGGTCATTATTACTATTTCATTATTTTTTTATTATGTTTTTTTCAAGAAGTGTGTGTTTATGTAGTATCTTGGAAACTTATAGAAGCTGATAGAGGCCATCAACGAAATGCAACAATGGTCGATTGTGTGAAAAGTCGGTTCGGAATCTGACTGGTACATTTTATATGTTTAAGTTATGCGCATTGAAAAAAGAAAGATTGCTAAATAAACTACCAAGTTTTTTGACTGAAGTGTATCTGGGCTAGGAAGACCAAATGCGGACAATTTGCAAAGCTTGCTTTGGTGAATAGGGGAATCAAAGTTCGAATAAAGAAAAAGAAGATAATCTGGAGGTTGTAATGCACTGTATGTACATAAGGGACTGGTTATAACGTTGATTATCGTTATTTTCGAAAAACAAAGGTTTTCGTATTTTCCCCCTTTCAGCGATAATATTTTCATTCATATTGATAACGTTGCCAAATGCTTGCGTTTTGTTGTTAATTCAATAATATCAGCTGATTTTTAACAGGTGTTATTATTTTCGCTAAATATAATGCTATCAATATTGTATTGAGGAGAAAGGTTTGAAACTTCGTTGAATTGTTTTATTTTGTTGTCAATATAAAAGTCATTTAAATATCACAAATAACAGCAAATACAATGATCCTTGTTTGGGTTGTAATTTTCGATTTGTTTCATTTAATTATTGCACTTTTGCAAGACATGAGCCGAACTCGTCCTGCAAGCAGTATTATTAATAGAGCTCTCAACAAGGGAGTTTAATAATTTCAAACGTTTTTACCTTTTCATTTCACTTTTGCTTGGTTTGTGTCTACAATTCGTTTTAGTTTGTGCTTCAAATCTGACTTAGCTTATCTGGCAAGCAGAGGTCTAAGCGGAAATAGAAAAGGAGAGAAGAATAGAGCAATCCAATAAAACAAGGGAAAAATGTTATAGTCAGACAAGGATGCTTTTAAATACCCTACATCACATCGCTTAATACACTTATACACTTTGGTTGTAGAAAACTACAAATTTAGCTTTGTCGCCATATAAGGATTTAATTTTTATGAAACAACTTTATATGTAGTGGGCACTAAAAAATGTATCTATGTGATTTATTATGTTTAATTTTTATGCCAAGTTGTTAGAATAGACCAGTTTTTATTACTTTTTATTATAAATTAAACCTTTAGTGGTGCAAACTGTAACACAAGGCATAAGAACGTAATAGGAAGTTGAGATTGCTGGATAGAAGGTTCGTTTTATGAAAAAGTGAGCAGGAAATTGGTTTAGAACGCTTTAGGGAAAAAGCAAAGAGTGAAAGTGATATCTGAAATTGTTTTGCTATTTGCGGCGTATTTAGTTTCAAAGTCAAGCACACACTTGCAAATCATTTGAATAGATTGTAGTCTTGCGATCTCTTACAAAGCATTTACAAAATGAATTGAATGAGCTGAGCAGGACAAATGATATCATCATCAACTCGACATGTTAGACCTGCATCTCAGCGAATTTTCGATTCTTAGCTTGATGAATATAACAGAGGAAGAAGAAGAAGAAGAAGAAAAAGAAGAAAAAGAAGATTCCAGCTAAACAATCAAATAACTTACATCACCGAAAATTCATTCAAAACCTTGTAGACAACTGAGAGATTTTCTAAACATAAATGTAGTCCTGTAGTGTGTGGTTTCCTTGGGTGTGTAATTATAACTTTATTCTTTTTATTAATATTTTTAAAATCAAAACTATTCTCTTTCTCTCCCCAAGTCTCAATTAAAAATCGAATTTATTATGTGTTCGAAAGAGCGAAGATATTTTTTTTTTTTTTTTTTGTTTATTTCAACTTCATGTGATATATATAATATAAAATGGTTGGTATGACGTCAAAAACTGCACCTTATTTTCATACAAAGGCGTATTGAGGGATAGGCAAAATATTGCATGGCGTGATCCAAGTTTTAATTT